ACAGAGATACAGATGGAGAGAGAGGGAGGATGAAGAGGACGAGAGGGAGGAGAGAGAGAGAGAGAGAGAGAGAGAGAGAGAGAGAGGATGAAGAGGAGGAGAGAGAGGGCTGGAAACACATCCTTGCCTATAGGGCCTCTGGGACAAATTACACCAGAGAAGGGATGTCAGTTATACTGTGTTGCTTTAACACCCACACACACACACACACACACACACACACACACAGCTGTCAGGTAATACACAAACGAGCAAGAGCAGATACCCTCAATACAATTGTATCTTGTGATTATAACTGACAGAACACACACACACGTGCACAAATAAAGACACACACACACGATTGTGTTATTGAGTCATGCCCTTAAGGCCAAAACTCATATCGAAAGTCTGCAGGAGAGCGCTGAAGGAAATCAGATAATAGAATTTCCTGTGAACTTCCAAAAGCCTGTCTTCCCCCTCAGACTAACTTTGTTGCTATGGAGATGGTCCATTAAGGGTCTCAACTTCTGTATATTGTGGGGTACAGAATTTCAGGGACTGAAAAAAATGTTAGGGACTAAAAAAAAACTAAAAACAAAAACTAATTCAGTCTTTTTTCTATTGAAAAGGTGTTTGGGCATTTCTTTTTTTCAAGCTTGTACAGTATGGTGCAGCAAAAAGGATAGAAAGGAAAAAGGAGTGGAGGCAACAGAGGGTGTGAGAAAGATTATAAGGACACTGAAGAGCGTGAATAGCAAAGATATGATACTTTTCCTATTCCTGAATTTGTGATTAATATACTTTTCCCTTAAAGTGCAACAATGTTTCTAAAATCAAAAAGTGCATTGTTGCCGTTGAGGAATCTTCACCGTGAACTGGAACTGAAGTGCAAAGTGCAAACCTTATTTTGATCAGAAGCTTCTTGTGAGCTCTGTAGAAAGCAGGACTCACTGATGAAGGCTGAACTGATGGAAAAACAGATCTCCTTCACCCATTGTAAACACAAAGGAGAAGAAGAGTCCAAGGTCTGCACAATTTAAAGGTTCAAAATCAACAAAGAAAATCACCTACCTGCAGCTGTAACAAAAGGCCATCAATGTATGAATTGTAGGTTTAAAAGATTTTAATAACAAATCTCAAAATCTGTCGACCCATGTCACATCTGTAGGTTCTAAAGGATGACCATGTAAGGTAAGTTTAAGGGAGACATGTACAGTGTCTGTTGGCCTTATGTGCTATGGAAGACTACAATAAAAGGAGGTCTTTCAGTGACAGCCTGAAACAATGCAGAGAGACAGCTGGATAAATGGTATGGAGTACGTGAGGTTTGATAAACATCTGGACATATGTTGGATCGAGTGTTTACAGAGTTGCTTTAGAGGGCAGCTCTCAGGATGTCTGTGACACGCCAAGTGTTTTAGAGAGGTCAACACACACAGGTGCATGACGCTAATGCGCGCACGCACACACACACACACACACACACACACACACACACACACACACACACACACACACACACACACACAGAGGGGTTCTTTGGCTTTTAGGACTTTGTGTAATGCTTTTAATGCAGAGAATACTGTGTTTAAGGAATGACTTCTGAAGTAGGAGTTCCTTATAAGATGAATGGGTTTGCACTTTAGTCTGGGTTTGTTATGTTTAACAAGTGTACATGCTAGCCTAGCCTAGCTGTTCCTACCCATTGTTGAACAGGTTTTTAAAGAAAGCTCACAACCTTTACTTTTAAAAGAACCTGTTATATTTGTGTTACTGATCCTTAGCTTTTGCCCTGGTCATTTCTTAGAGCCAGTATGCAACTGAGTGGATTCAGCACTGAGCCCTGATTGGTCAAACTCAAGCGATCATGACTGCTATTTTATCCTGAAGTTTTTGAGGCTCTTCTTTTTTTAAACTCTTCTAAAGTTCTGCAATATTTCCCACAGTTGTTTTGGATCTTTGGATTTTGTGGCACAGCGTGGAGAAACAGTCCTACTGTGGACCTGTAAATCCCACTGAGACAATGTATTTAAAATCGGGTAAAACAAATAAGCTTGACATGTAGCCTACTGGTTTCTGGATGGGGGTTTATGCTTTAAAAAAATAAACAAATCTTCAAACCCAAATGCTTCCTGTTGTTATATCGTTGGTGTCCCTGCATTATCCAATAACATTTCCTTGTTAGAAAACTCTAATTTTTTAAGTGGTTTGTTGGTTTATGTGCATTCGGGGTGGGTTTGTGTAAAAGCTCAGCAGTGTACAGTATATGGCTGTAAAACAGAGACAGGCCTGTAACTACACGTAGAAAGAAAACTCTTAAAACTATATTGCAATATAAACTTTCTGTTTGTCAGTATGAGTGCAGTTAGCACCTGTGGTTCACAGTTTGCAAGTGTATGGTGGGTGCAGTTTGGGTCATCCCGGCTGCCCAAATATTGTTTGTTTGATTTTTTCAAAGCGTCGACATTTTTGTGTGTGTGTGCATACCGTGGTCAGAGTGCAGAACGAACACTGCCGCCAGATGTTTGGATTTGCTCCAGCGCCTGTCATCGGCTGAGGACTACTGATGGGGACAAACACTGAATATTTGGACTCATTAAACACCACCCTCTCCATTTATCAGCACAAACACACAGAGAGATCCAAACCACCAGTTTAGAGCGTACCGTCTTTAATTCAAGGATCAAAAATATGACAATATACAGTACAAGATCTTGCTTAATCAACATTTTTGGCGTGAAAAATACAGTATTTCGGGTAACTTTGTTTCTAAAGCAGTGTGAATAATAAAACCTTCTCTGAGGCTTTTATCTCGTAGCCTGGTTCTGCACACAGAAAATAGTTAGCTGCTCTTTCTGTCTCTGACACATACAGTACAAATAAATAAGACACAGATCACACTACTTACTTAAATGCATACTTGACTCTAAACAACATGTGTGTACCTGAAACAAAATAGTCACATAAGGTTGAATACCTCATATTTCTAAAAAGTCAACGGTTCAATTAAGATTAAATCCTTAGATCGATAAACATTTACGGTGCAAACAAGTGTGTGGGGGAAACTGCACCTACATGTGAGCTTTGGCTTTTAACCTTAGGACATTTAAAAACTACCTGTAATCATTTAAATATAGATACATTTGTTATGGCAATAACTCATCTCAGTCCTGCAAGGTTGAATTGCAAGCCCTCTAAATGTTTTTGTCTGATCCTTATCTCATAGCTTTATAATATTTCATCCAATTGTTTTCTTAAAGGGGTGTAAAGGAAAAGTAATATAGTTTATCTGAATCACCAGATTAACCCCTGGAGGAGCCTGTATGCTCTTTTGATCCAATGTAAAAATACTAAAACTGCCTTAGTCATGACCATTTTAATGAACAACATTCAATGTTGCTGTTTGCCAGAAATAGACAGGAGAAAATAGCATGCCATCAATTAAGAAATTATATTTTAGAGATGACTGAAGCATTCTTAGTAGAAATACAATAACATGAGAGAAACTCCTTCAAGTAGCCGAGTCCTGAGTCTGTTCAGGATTGGGGATCAACGTGTTTTTGTTGTCAAATTACCCCCCAAAAACAGATACTGTGGTTGGTCCAACAGGTGAACATTATCGTTAGCACCCCCCTGTGTATTCCACTTCACAATACAAGTTATAATGGGCAGAATTGTATCAATCTGGTTATTATTATTATTAAGTCAAATTTTAGTTAAAGCAACAGTTCAACTTCAGATACTCACGTAAATTAAATAACTGGTGAATTGTACCTAAGCCAGCTAGTGAAGGGGCATGTCAAATAAGTCTCCCAAAGAAAAACAAGACCATAACATGACTCCACACAGCTTCTGCAGAACAATCCCTGTTTTTGTTTTATAGCCAAATGATTGCACGGCTGTTTCAAAAGTCTTAAATCCCAGCGCTCTATATCTGCCACATGTCCTCATCTCACAGACGTCTGGTTGGTCTGAAGCAATCAGACGGAGTTGTGTAGTGGTCACTCATGCTTTTTAAAGCTGGACAAAACGTAAAAGTCATGTTGCTTTTTGGTTACCATTTTTAGAAAATAGAGACACTTTGTCCTGCAAAGGCACAACAAAAACAGATTTCTAGTTCCTGTTCAACATTGATATTGGCTTTAAGTTGTTCATGCTACCGTGTAGTTTAGGAGAGTTATCATGTGGAAAATACACATCTGTAAAAACTGTCTGTATTTGCTGTTCACGAAGTACCCACACTTGTATACTTTCTGGAAGCATGTGCATTCTCTACAGTTATAATATTAAACATTTCATTAACCAGGTGAATAAAATATACAGTTCTAACTCAGATTGTATTTGAGGTAAATAAGGTCAAATACATGTTGTCTGGAGTAATTCTAATCCCAACCTTTATTTTTTTGTAACCCTACAAAGTCCTATTTTACTAACATAACATTTATTGGGCGACAGTTCACATAGAGCTGCAATACTCTGAATATTAGGTATAGATATAGATGTTTTCACAACACACTGTGTGTTATAGTGACAAAGCTCACTGCCTGCATTTTAGAGGGAGCTTTAATGACTTTCACATGAGTGCATATAAATGCTACATTGTTTCACCGCTTTTTCCTGAATCATGGGACTCCTGATCAAAGGTTGTGCATCGAGTATGGAAATGCGTTAATTAGATAGCCTGCTGATTAAAACGGAGAACAGTTCCTCGACAGGCGTCACTATGCTGGTCCGGGCAAAGTGAAGACAAAGAAGCAAAGCCAGCCTGTCTGCTGAGAACAAGTGAGAGTGGCACTTCCCCAGATCCTACTTTCTTGTAGCCACTCACCCTCCAGCTCTCTCCCTCTCTCACCCCTTCTCTTCCCTCAGAGTTGGTGATGTGCTGATATCTCTTGGCAGTGGATGGGGCGCTGCCTCAGTCTTCTGCCCTGTGGTGCTTCTTCATATCTCATAGTGCTTGTGCTTTCCTCCTTATTCGCCTCCCTCTACCCCCCCCCGCATCCTGCATGCCTCTGTCTTCTCCTCCTCTCTCACTTCCTGTAGTTGCTGTTTTTAATTAGAATTGAACCGTCAACACATCCCACCTCTGACCGAGTTCACTTCACCTTTGACCCTTTCACCTCACTCGCAGTTGCATCCATCTTCTTTTTCACATTCCTCCCTAATTGGTCGTTGCATATACAAAACCCTTGCCGATTGCTTTCAGTTAGCAACATTTCTCATCATGCCCGGTTTTTTATTTATCTCTTATGCTTTCCTTCCTCTTTCTTCCCTGTCGTGTTCTTAAAATACCTTCGCCGACCTTGCTCTCTGCCCCTGTTTTCACATCTCCCCCCCTCCTTGCCTCTCTTTCTCCTTCCCGCGAGACCTGTCAGTGTCTCATGGTGTTCTGGCCAAACTTGTCGCCAAGTTGTTGGATGAGCAGAGCCAGCTCTCCGGCGGCGTCGGACTTCTCCTCCAGGAGCTCATAACGGAGGCTGGAAATGTCTTGTTTGATCTCCTTCAGCTCGCCTACAACACAGTCACACACGGACACAACAGTGTGAGCAAATACAGACCTGAACGCAAGTTGAAAAAAACATAGAACTGTGCTGTAGCTTCCACGTGTGAGCATGTGCAGACATATACTAAACAGAATACAATGATGTACAATAGACCTCACACACACACACACACACACACACACACACACACACACACACACACACACACACACACACACACACACACACACACACACAACCCCTACCACCACCGAATACAATAACAAAAACATATTTTTATATAACTTTGGTATTGTATTCGGGATTGTGGGCAACGGTATTTCAATCTGCACACAAATTGAAAGATTGACAATAAAGTTGACTTTGACACTTGTCCCTCACGTCTGAAGCGCACACATGCCCTCAGCAAATAATGACACGATGTGAAAGGGCCTTAATGAAGAGCACATTTTACCTTCATTCACTTCGTCGTTCTCTCTGTCCACTTGAGCCTTCAGCACAAAGCGCTTAATCAGGCGCTTCATGATATTCTAAGCAGAGGAGAGGAAAAGAGAACATCATACATAGAGAGCAGGTGATGGGATGATGAAGAAACATGCCTAAGTACACACTCAAAAGGTCATGCAGACAGTGGTAGAGAACAGCTCTTTGTTGGAGACTCTGTGAAATGGGGATTATTGATCTGTAGCCAAAGTCTGTAGCTCCTCAAGCAGTCCATCTCCACAAGTAGGCACTAGGATATAAGTCTGTACATTTCACTACAAATACAAACGTCTGATAAAGTGGCACCAGGATGCTTGGCGTGTGTGTGATCTTGTGTAATTGTCTGATGGATGTTGAAAAAAGAGGAACAGTGGACCAGTGAAGGAAGTTCGATTTCCCTGAGGGAAAAGATGAAGGGCAGACTCAGGAGGAGAGCATGTCTTCCCTCCTCAGTGTGATACTTGGAGTGCTTGCTTTCCATCTCCCTCAAACAGCTCATTAGAGGCTTTTTCAGCCTTGCTACATTGATCTCTGTTTCTCTTTGCCTCTCCTTCACTCTTTATCATTTGTTTCCTTCCTTTCAGTTGATGTGTTTTGTCTACTCTTATAATATGATTTCCTCCCTTTTGTCTCCCTAACTCTCTCACTTATCCTTACCTATGTCTTCAATCTGAGTTTCTCCTAACCTCTTCCACCAATCAAATGTTCTTGCTTCATCTCTCCTCCTGTCATCCTTTTATCCTTTCATTTGTCTATTCTCCTCGTTAATTACTCAGACCTCCTGACTTCCTTCCTCCCAAACTTTGCTCCACATATACTTCCATCCCTATTTTACCTCATATCTGGTCGGGTGTTTTCCAGATTTTCTGGAGATGAACTCTTCTCCGGGGCGGGGATAAGTCCTGAGGGGTTCATCCTGTTGCAAAGGGGAGACACAGACAAAGGTCTAGTCTCAATGTCACATTTCAGGGTTGAATTATGTTTTACAATGAAAGCATTTGAAAAGCGTATCAGAAAAGGCAACACATTGCCAAAACAAAGACGCCACGAGTGTTTGTGCCTAGTGCTCACAGATGTCTTCAAAGAAAATCACTTGACAGGGTAAAACTCTGTTAACTCATTTCTAAATGCCTTTCACGTCCATGACCTTGCTCTGTAGCTTGTGTGTTACTTCAGCGCTGCAGTGTCAAAATGAGTTTTAACTTAAGTGTGGTCACACGCAACCAGCTGCGACTAAAAATGCTCCAAAGCTGCTGAGGCATGACCCTATGTCAACTTAATAGCTGGATTATATGAAAGCTTTACAGTTTAAGCTAACGCTAATTACATAATTCTTAATATTAAAGCAACAGAATTGTTTAAAATTATGAATATACGACATACGGTATATGTAAAAAACATGAAATGTGTTTGAACTTAATCAAAAACAGATGTATTCTTAAATTTGACAGAAGTTTATGCTATAAGATCTCTATCAACCCACACTATGTACAGAGAATCAGTAATGTGGAATATTTGCCATTTATAAGATTTCAAAGGTTTAATGTCATATACACAACTACAGTGACATTGTGTAATGAAAAACTTGGGTCACAGGTTTCTCAACAATGCAATATAAATATATACAAGACATAAAAAAAATAAATAAAAAAAACCCAATAAAAATAGTGCAAGCTCAGGAATCTGATGGCCTGTGGGATGAAACTGTCCCTGACTCTGGTGGGCTTTGTCCCGATGCTGCGATACCGCCTGCCAGACGGCAGCAGACAGAACAATTTGTTGCTTGGGTGATGGGGGTCTTTTGTAATCTTGCGTGCCTTCTTTCTGAGCTGCTGGGTGTAGAGGTTGATGGCAGCTCCGTCCTGGTGATGTGCTGTGCCGTTTTTACCACCATCTGTAGAGTCTTACGTTTGAGGGCGGTGCAACTGCCACACCAGGCCGTGATGTCATCGGTCAGGATACTCTGAAACTCTACAGGTTGAGATGGAGGTTGTTATCCTGGCATCAAGATATCCGGGTTCTGACTTCCTCTCTGAACCCCATCTTTTCGCCGTCAGTGGCCACGCAGTCGTGTGTGAACAGGGAATAGAGGAGAGGGCTGAGCACACAGCCCTGAGGGGCTCCGGTGTTGAGAATCAGGGTGGAGGATGTGATGTTTCCCACCCGCACTACTTAGGGTCTGCCCGAGAGGAAGTCCAGGATCGAATCACAGAGGGCGCTTCTGAAACCGAGGTCCCTGAGCTTGGTGACGAGCTTGGAGGGCACAATGGTGTTGAAAGCTGAACTGTAATCAATGAACAGCATTCTCACATATGTGTTCCTCTGGTCCAAATGGGAGAGGGCAGTGTGGAGGGTGAGGGCGATATCTGTGGCCCTGTTTGCTCTGTAGGAAAACTGCGGGGGTCCAGAGAGTCAGGGAGGGAGGAGGTGAATGGAGTCACCTAAAGGACAGACCCTATTATTTGTTTTATTTACTCATATTTCTCATTTTGCAGGGAAACTCATCTTGTGCCCTCTGAAAGAACACAAATTAACAGAGAGCAACTATTTACGACAAAGAGGGATTCAAATGAACAATTGTATCTAGTCACGGTTTATTATACCACACAACCAGATGGCAAGTACTGTTTCAACTTAATATGAATTTTAGCAACACACCATTCATCCACAAGTTCACCAAAGCCCAATCTAAAAGCTTAAATGTCTTTGTGCGGCGCAGAGAATAAATGTAGTCACTCTCAATAACCTGCTGCCTCCGTTCAACTGAAATTCTATTAATTTGCCTTTGGCAAGATATTAACTACAGTAAATGTACGAAAGACACATTCACTAAACTGCTTGAGCATGCCACTATTGCATACAAGCAAAGACACACAGGTACATGCATACTTACTGGTTTCTGTCACACACACACACACACACACACACACACACACACACACACACACACACACACACACACACACACACACACACACACACACACACACACACACACACACACACACACACACACACACTAATATTAATTGAACAAACGTGGACAACTGATTTATTATCAAACTAACATACCAATGTTAATTAAAAACGATATAACCACAGGCTGAGTCAGAGCCTCTTTTGTATTTCACAAACCATGACTTGGTTATTTTTCTGAACATATGCTGCTTTGAAAATAAGAAAATTAGCTTTTATATTAGCTTTAATTAGATGTATTAATCTTCACAAACAGTGGGTATTCCACATGATAAATAAACATGGACCGAAACACTAAGAGGAAATAATTACTGATTTAGAAAGACCATGCTGTCTTCTCCAGATCTCTCTTGACATTCTCTTCGCTGCACTGTGAGCTTATGTATCGATTGCTCGCCGCACCTGCTTGGCTCTGCAGTTAAACTGTCAGAGCTGCAGAGAACTTCAGGAGCTCAGAGGCAGTGGGGTGTAACCCATCTTGTCCCCATACGGAACCTGCCCAGGCTTTTGAGGAGACGCAGGCAGAGCCAATGGCCTGGCTAATAGCTCAGCCGAGGCGATGGAGCGAGCCATATGAGCCGGGGAATTAGACAGAGGAAATGCCTGCGGACAAGGCCAGTGCCAAGATTGATTTTGTGCTAAATGGCCTATGCTATTTTCTTCACGCAATACTTTCTTTTAATTAAAGGAATTTTATTTTCGATGGACCATCCTTGAGAGGTACTGTAGGACGTGTGAACATGAAAGTTGCATGCAGTGGGAATGTCGTTTATCTCCTGGGTCTTATCCTTTGCCCCTTTTCTAATTACAGCAGTTCTTTAACTGAATCCTCATGGAGTTAAAATGATAACATTAAACTAGGAAAGAGCCTGCACAAGAGGAATATCTGGAGGGGAATAACCCTCCTGGTAATCAGTATGTCAGTGTGCTGATTCTAACTTTCTTATTCTGTGTAAACTGGCAAGAATTAAAAAGTAAAATGTTGTAATTGGCTTGTAATTATTGGCTCCCACAACACTTCCTCAGAAACGGAGGAATAGTTGACTCAAAGCACTTAGAGAGATAATAATAATGACATGAAGAAAAACACTATCATTAAGTTACCACAGCGACTTCATTTGGAAAATCATTAGTTATCACATTTTGGAATATAGTCTCAACCCATCAGTTGTTCCCTGTCATATTGGGAAATGTATTCAAAATATTATTGGGTTTCTTTCTGCAATCCGTCATGAGATGAGGAATCAAACAGCGGACTGACCTTAGCCTGGGAGTTGAGCATGCCCAGCTCCAGCTCGTTGTTATGGCGACGGCTGTTGGCCTTGCAGAGGTGTATCAGGCAGGACTTGATGCGAAGGACCATGTAGTAGAAAGACTTTGGGCTGGGGACCAGGTTGAAGGGAGCGGGCAGCGTTCGGCCCTCGTCAAAGTAGGAGATCCACAACTTTGCTCGGGCAAACTTCCACTCCACGTCAGCATCCTCCTGCAGAGACAGAGACAGTATTAGAAATGAGCAGAGCTTTTGAAGACTTACAGGAACACACCAGATTGTAGAAAAAGTGACCTATTTATTACTTCTAGTTGTTAGATGATTCAGTTTTGTTGTGACTACCTCCCAGTGTGGCTCCAGCTTTCATTTTGTATTCTGTGCCTTTTTTGGTTTTCAGTGTATTGATTCTGTAAGGATGGTGGTATTTCCACTCACTCTCTAATTCTCCTGCAGGCTCAGAGGTGATCATACAATGATTCGTATTGACTTGTTGACAACATCATACCCTTTCCGAATCGACTAACCATCTTATTTATGTACCTCTATCTCCTGGTAGGAGTTGTTGATCATAGCAATGAGCATGTTGAGAAGGACGACCACCATCGTCACATTGTAGACTCCGTACAGCACGTAGCCGATGTTCTCTATGAACTTGTGATCGTACTTCAGAACCACTGAGATCACTTCAGACAGCCCGAAAATCGACCAGAAAAGAGTCTTAAAACTCTCCTCCACCCTGCAACGTAAGAGAGAGAAAGATGTGGCAGAAACAACATAGAACATGACAGTGAATAAATACACATAAAAGCCCACGTGTTAGCGGTTAATTGCTCTCTCAGTCAGACACATGAACATACACAAACACAAAAAGCCTTTTATTGTGGTGCAGTTTATGGGGTAGCACTGATGAAATAGCTGATGAGTCATGTCCAATTTGAACACATTATCCCTTTTATCCCTCTTACACACAAACACACAGAGACATGGTTGACTTGAAATCTGAAAAGATAGGAAATGACTCGACTTCATTATTTAAGACACCATTTGGTTTAAAGAGGTTAGTTCATTAAGCATGTAGCCTTGTCTCGTGTTGAACTAGAATGTCACCGCTGTTAATGGAAAAACAAAACATGTTGGTATTTCTGGTACTTAATTTATCCATGTAAACCTTAATGTCAATTGTGAAAAGTCCTTTTTGGGAGTAAAAGATGAATGGAGACAGATTTCAACCCATGAAACTCATTCATAATAAGACATTAAAGGTGGGGTAGGTAATTTTGGAGAAACCAGCTCGAGGGCGCTAGAATTTGAAAATACACAGCCGGAAAAAATCTGCCACTTCCTTACAGAGCCCCTCCTCCAACACACACGAACGCGCACATGACCAATGAGGGCACGAGCTGAGTTTGTGCACAGATGGAAGGCTGACAGGCAGGTAGGCCATCCAGTTATTTTAGCCGGGTCGGCTAAAATGATTGGTCGTGCTTTTTACAGCGCTACGGCTTCCACAGATGACATTTTTCTTATGGATTTTTTGTCAAAGCACTTCAGATAATCATTGCTATCGGGATGTTAAGAGCCTTCCATGGAATATAACACAAAGTGTATCTCGAGCCGGTTTCTCAAACTTACCTACCCCACCTTTAAAAATGTTGCATACATTTACATGTTTTTTTTCTTTTCCTCCTGGCAATTACATATGAGAATAAAACTCTGAAAAATGTTGTTTCATTTAGAAAATGAAGTCTCCCTGGAGGACAACAGTAAAGTCACTGCTCAGCCTGACACCGACCCAAGGTGAAACTACATAAAGCTGGAAGACCTGTCAACATTGACATTCAGGTACATGTCTGTCTTTAAATATTCCATGAGTGGAAGGCATGGGCCTGAAATGACAGCGGGGTGGCTTAGTAGGGAGGAAGAATCCGCCTGGGTGGATTGCTTAAGGGGCTGGAGATGGAAGGAGGCTGTGGGGAGCGAACATCTATAGGCTCCTGGTGTGAGTTGGTGTGTGTCTTTCAACTTAACTTCTTTCAAAGAGAAACAGCATTGACAGGCAGAGAGCTGGGTGAAGGTGCAGCGAGAAATACAACCTCACATGCAAAAAAGACACAACACACACTAGGTACAGACCCTCACCTCCTTACAAAAACACATGAAAACAGAAATGATTCTTGTTACTTCAGCTTTAACCTTTCAGGCAGAAAGCCAAACACACTCTTTAACGTTTTAGACTAGACCTGTTTGTGTGTCAGCTGCAGAGCATCCAAAAATATGCGGTGCCTTTATACACATGTACTTGAAAAATGCATTGCTTTCTAAAAAAATCATTCAATGCTTTTCCCAACTACGCACACACAGGTCAAACTATGTAATTATTACTTTGATAATGAAAACCCATTAGCTGCCTTTTCTTCCCACCAGATTTAGAATAGAACAACCTGATTCATTCTTGTTGCTCTTTAGAAACACTTGACTCCCTGCATCGCGCTGGCCTTGCTTTACCTGCAGACAGTATTCTCTGTGCGTCCCTGAACTTCAGCTGAGTGGCATGATTAACGGTCTGTACGTACCATGTATAACTGCTTTCAACCCTCGAACACATATTCTCCCATGAAAAGGACATCTCCATGTTCTTCATTTAGAAAATCTGCTCACCTTATAATATGAAAGTATTAAAGTAGCAAGATAGTATGCCCACTTTGGATACATGGGGTTATACCCAGAGCTTTGAACATTTGCTGAATGTTGAACATACAAAAAGTTAACTTTCTACTATAAATCAGTAACTATTTAGACCAGTGGTTCCCAACCTTTTTCAACTCAGGGCCCACTTTAGAATCTACATTTTTTTCGCGGCCCACATTCAACCATAAACAATACGGAGGCTACATAAAGTTTTGATTGGTCAATTCAGAATATGTGACACGTTTTTAATCCAGTAGAACAGACCGCTGTCAAGGACTGTAATGACCTTTGCTAAAGAGGATCAAGAAAGGGAAAGGAAAAGAGGTTCAAATAAAAAAAAGAACTTTAATAATGGAATGTTTCCACACAAATCATAATGTTTTGCAAATTATTTGGCGGTCCACTTGCAATGTGTTCGCGGCCCATTAGGGGGCCACGGCCCACAGGTTGGGAACCGCTGATTTTACCATCAGACTCAAAAGCCTTGAAACGTTATGTTCCCAATCATTGTCTTACTATGAGGGTCATGTATATTGAAACAACTCAACACTCAAACTCCCGACACCAAGATGAACGGCCCTCATCCCTATTATCCCTGAACCCGCACTTTGCTGAAAGCAAGTACATGAGCCAGTTTTCCAGAGTAAGATATACAAAGAAATATATATATAAATAAGTACAACAAGGCATTCAATTAACTGCTCCAACAAGTGTTTTAAACTGATATTTTTAACATTTATTTTCCGAACTAGAATGACAGTTGTTAAGAAACCACCTCATCATGTTAAAATGGATGCAGAGGCATGCACATTACAGTGACTTTCAACACTGGAGGCTTGTTCACACAGGAACACATTCACAAGTGTTAATAGTAGTTCTTCTTTTTGTTGTTCTTAAAAATGGTCCAGGCGACAGACCATTGCTGAGAAACTAGCAGCGACCAAAAGCTGATATCAACAATACCGTTTCCTCACTCAATATTCACATCACACACATCCAGCAGCCTGTCATGCAATCAGGAGAGCTGAGGGTGGGGGTTTTGGTTGCCTTGCCTTGAAAAGCTGTTATTTTGAGCCTTCCTTCCTTAAATAATGTCTTGTCTCTTATCTGAAGCCTCTCTTAAAAGATACATTTGATTTCCTGTGGCCTTGAAAAATGAAACAAAACAAAAAGGGGGGGAAATTATCTGGTCTCTATTACCATCTATCCAAATTATCTTTTAAATCAAATCATTCTGTCTCCCAGCTCTCCTTCCTACCCGTATGAGTGCCCACCCAATTTACATTTTTATGTTCACAAAAAAAAGAAGTGAGAGTAGATAATGATGGAGGGCTTGGTTCCAGGCAACATTAATGTTCCATTAAACCAGACACTGGCAGGGACCAACGCTGACACACAATTAAAATTATACACTCACCACTCCGCTGGCTATTTATACCCACTGTTCATCTGGTGGCTTTGGCAGATCCGAAGTATTATAATAATTCAACATTTGTTTTATGTGTTAGCAGCTTTAATTCAAGTTAACTCTCTTTACAGCACCAGCAAAGTCAACTATGTTCTTATAGAGCAAAAAAAGATCCATGATTTACGAAAAGAAAGAGATATCTGTTTTTCCAGATGAACTATTCCATTTGGAAACAGAAGGTCTTCCTCCCCTCTGGATAATGCTGATGTATGAGCAGCCGGCGCTGTTTTGCACCATCATTTGTTTTTGCTCACCTTGTTTTCGGCTTATTTCATTCACCTAAATGTGTTTGAGAGGCCTCTCGGGGAGGGAGTGCAATTATACAAAATGTAAAACTCATCCTTGGAGATCAGAAACATTGATTAATTTTAATTTGTCTTTTGCTAATGTGAGCCTAGGTACTGGACATGTTTGTATTATGCAATAACCTGTAAGTGAGATGAATGAGATACTGGATGCACTGGATAATGGGAGATTTCTTTTACAATGTAAGCATGAGATTATTTCATTTTAAACTTGTGTGTGTGTGTGTGTGTGTGTGTGTGTGTGTGTGTGTGTGTGTGTGTGTGTGTGTGTGTGTGTGTGTGTGTGTGTGTGTGATAGAGAAACAAAAGAGGGAGAAGGAAAAAAGTTGAAATCCAATGTGTGTGTCTTAAGGCGGGCGTGTTTATGAGTGTGTGCATTTTAATGTGACAGGCAGCGGGACACATAAGGAGGCGGTAAAAGAGAGAGATGTAAAAGGAGGCTGTTTTGGTGTGTGTCTTTAGGCAAGTTGTGAGAGAAATCTTATTAAGCAGGGAATACAACTGCACAAGAGGAGTAATTAGGAGTGTTTTGATACTAAATCATGCACGTCATCAACTTTTTTTAAGTTGCCTGCTCCGCGGTGTCAGTCTGTCTTTATTCTATGCGAGTCTCTTGTCTTCAATCTTTTAAAGTTAAAGTTGTGATTTTTTCTTTTTGGATACTATTATGTGTGATATCAGCCAGTCACACTGAGGCCCTGAAGAAAAGCAGATGTGAGGGGGGGGGACAGGCCAACAACAGCAGTGGTCCAAAATACAGCTTGGCTAGGATTGTTCTACTTGATAAAGTAGTGTGAGTTCCACAGTATAGCAGTACAGCCGCGCCCCCCCTCCCAATCAGTATTGCTATTATTGTTGTTGTTGTTGCTATAATGCAGGGTGATTCAATTGCATTTCAAAGAGGTCCAGTGAGAGAACATGTCATTAAATGCTCTGTTTTCGCTGTCTACCTTTCTCTTTTTTGAGCACGCCATTTTAAGTTACTCCGACGGTTTCTCTCTTCTTGTCTCGTCTCTGTGTGTTTGAATCTATCGTGCTGACTCACTGACTGCACCCATTTGATTGGCTGAGTAGTGTCATCTCCTTAAAACATTAAACAATAACTTTAAAAAAAAATGTTATCTTTATGTTTTAAACATTTTTTTAAAACATTTTTAACATTTTCAACACCGTGGATAAATCATTATATGCTCCTGGCAACACACTGAACGTCAACTTTGCCTCCTTATTACACTCACCCCTACTTTAGTGGGAACAATGAGTCTGCGTCTTTGA